AATATTACTGCATAGTATGCTAGAGAAGTAAAGTAGTCAATGAATCTCCGTAACCAGAGAAAGGATTTCTCTCACCAAATAAGTAGGTAGACCCCTTGGAGAAATAGCTGACTCAGAGTCTAGGGCAATAAATGTAAAAACTGGGCGTAGAAGATTTTGTCATGCCTAAAAGCAATGAAGCTAACTCAGGCTGGCATTCTGTCAAAAGAACTCCTAGGAGTTAATGTGGATGAGTGCCCACGGGTCAAAGATGAACAACTTGAACATCAAATAATAATAATGACAGCAGTGGATTGAAATATATGAAATATTCAAATCTACATGCTTATAATCATATTAAAAATAAAAGTTTTTTTAAAAAAGAAAAAGATTTGATTCCATTTGGAAGAATTTAGGAAATCAGTTCGTCATTCTGAAAACAGGTAAATAAAGAAAAAAAAAAAATCCCACCTTTCCTGTTATAATTATACCTGAGGTAAACAAATAGTTGAAGAGGAAAAGTTTTTTGATAACTGAACTACAGCTCACAAATGAAGACAGAATGATGTAGAATATCAATTTTTAAAAGATTAGAATTAAGAATACTTGTGTATTCAGCTAACTTTCCTGCCTCTTTTGTGACTTAAAAAAAAGCCAATGAGAATTAAAAGCTTTATGAAGCAAAAAATTAGGGATTGAAAGTTCTTGCAACTGTTTTGCAGTGGTGTCCCTTATCTGAAATGCTTGGACAAGAAATATTTTGGACTTTTTTTGGATTTTAGAATATTTGTATATACCTAATGGGAGCTGGGTGACCCATGTCTAAACAAATTCATTAATGTTATACACATAGCCTGAAGGTAATTTTATACATTTTGAAATAATTTTGTGCATGAAACAAAGTTTTGACTACTACCTGTAACATATCTAGTGTGGAATTTTCTGCTTGTTGGTGCTCATAAAATTTCAAATTTTGGCACATTTCAGATTTTGGATTTTTGGATGAGGGACACTCAACTTGTACCTTAGATGGCAACCAAAAAGCAATTAAAGCAAATAATCTCCAAGTGTAGAAATGTTAACACCTCTCCTTTAGGCTTTGATTATGACATTTCTTGGGTTTTTATAGTTTTATTCATTGTTCTTCCTGTTGCTGCCAATCATTTCAAGAGATCTTTCAAACTACTCTTAAGTGTACAGTAGTATTGACCTTCCTACTCATTGTAAGAATGGAGATAGAACCAAACTATACCATACCTTAAAACTTTCAGTCTACCAGTCCAGAGCCTCAAACAGGTTTTAAACTTACCAGCATGAACCTGGGTCCTTTAAGTGGTATTTGTGTGAATTATAGAGGAATATAGGCTCATGTGGCTTATGTCTGTAATGGCAGCACTTTGGGAGGCCGAGGCAGGCGGATCATCTGAGGTCAGGAGTTCAAGACCAACTTGGCCAACATGGTGAAACCCCATCTCTACAGAAATACAAAACATTAGTCCAGCAACGTGGCAAGCCCCTGTAGTCCCAGCTACTCAGGAGGTGGAAGTTGCAGTGAACTGAGATCACACCACTACTGCACTCCAACCTGGGTGACAGAGCGAGACTCGATCTCAAAAACAAACAAACAAACAAAAAGATTATAGAGGAATATAGATTATAGAGGAAAAATAAAACAGACAAATGGGAGTCAGCTTATGTAGTCTTAACTCTGATTTTTAAAGTCTCATATTTAGAGCAGGTAATTATGGATTGTTCTTCTACCTTGCTTCCTTGATTCAGACACACCTGATTTTCATGTTTTAACATTTCTGAAATTTGCATGTGGCTTGTAATACATGTATGTATTTAATGGGGCAATGTTCCCAGGGTCCCCTGTCATCCCTGAGAAGCTATTTAAATTGTGTGTTTTACAATCAATTTTGTCTTCAAATCTTGGAATATGGTAATAAATAATCTTCCTGGATGATTTTTTTGCAAAATATGTCTTAAAAGTGTTTCATAGAATCCTTTAGAGCAGAATTTTCCAAAGTATTTTCTTTATAATACTAGTTCCTATGTGTTTCTATAAAGGTGGAAGCAGGAGGCTTGTAAGTTTGGAAAATGCATCTTGCTTTCAGAGCTTCATGAAAAACAAAACTCTTTAGGCTCCTAGAAAGCCCATGGTTTAAAAAACAAACAACTCTTTAAATCTCTTTAAAATTAAAGATTCCCCAAACTCATCAGACCCTCAGATCCTTTTCTGTAACACTTGCTAGCATTTTGGGAAATGCTGCTGTGTATAGTTGATTAATATGAGTGTTAGAACAAAACATTTTCATCAGGTTGCTTTAATTACTTGCCTGTTGCAAATCAAAAAGATAACATGTCTATGCATGTTTATATGTAGTTGTCACGAGAATCACTTCAAAGTCTTGATTGACTGACTAGGTTGTCAACCTAGTCAGCTTTGTTAGACATGAGTTGTTTTTGTTTTTTAAACTGCCTTCAACTGTGCAGTAACTCTGTACTGCCCAGTCAGTAGTAGCCCTATTATCTCTTAGATTTGTGCATCAGCTCATTTGCTGAACTTCAGTGTAATGTGTCTGAACAACAGAATTACTGATGTAGTATATATTAATAATATATACTACAGAATTACTGATGTAGTATATCACTGGTTGTCACCCCTGGCAATAGTTTTATTCTATAACTTGTTCTACCTATATTTCTTTTTAAAAAACAACTTTATTACCAAATTAAAGTGTATGTATTGCTGGATCTTCATATTGTGTTGTGCTCCAGTATTTATTATAGGCTATTCGTAGTGAATCTCTCGGGGAGGTATCCCCTAGAAATTCATTTATCATAAGAGATAAATCTGTCTCTTCTGTCTTTTGCCTGGGAAAGGAGAAAGTTAGGTGGTTCCTACAAATAGAGATGAACCCTAATGTCTTAAAGTAAGAAACATCTTTGCACAGGAGTAATGGGAGCTACAAAATACTAAGCAGGCATGTTCCTCAACGTCTTCAGTAAAATACTTTCTGTACCAGATGACTCTGCTGCGTATACAGGTTTTTAAATTGAGAAGCAGATAATCCTTACTGCCCTCAAAGAGTTGAAACTAATTGGTGAGACAACAGCTTCTGTAAATGATAAATATTCACAATGCAATGTGTTTCATGTTTTAAGAAATAGATACAGGAGGCTCTGGGACATCTTACTTAGATTGAGCTTTGGTGAAGAAATTAGAAAATCTGAGCCTGGAGACTAAGTAGCACATGGTCATGCAGGCAAGAGGATAAAAACATTGCTTACAGAAAGGACAGACTGTGTGAAAAGCAGGGGGCTGTGAAAGGTAAAGTGCTTGGAGATTGCAGGTAGCTTGGCTTAGGATATCTGTGGTAACAGGATAGAGAATGAGGTCAGACAAGAATGAAGGAGGCCATGGTTATTGTTCTAGGCAGAGTTTAGAAGATTGCCAATAGATGGTTCTGTTTTTTATTGTTGTTTGTTTGTTTTTCTTTTTGAGACAGTGTCTTGCCCAGGCTGAAGTGCTGTAGCATGATGATGAGTCACTGCAACCTTGAACTCCTGGGCTCAAGCCATCCCCCAACCTTAGTCCCCAAGTAGCTGGGTACAGGTGTGCACCACCCCCACCCAGCTAATTTTGAAATTTTTTTTGTAGACGCAGGGTCTTGCTATGTTGCCCAAGCTGCGTTCAAGTGATCCTCCCACCTCAGTCTCCCAAAGTACAGGGATTACAGGTGTGAGCCACTGTGCCCTGCCAAATTGATGGTTCTTGATCTGTGTTAGCACTTTTTATATAATCAATTAGTAATGAAAATCAGTATTGAATACATGGTGTTAAATTCCTTAATTTTAACGTGCATTTCCAGATGACAATCATATTACTCCATGTTTATAATATCTTGATGATTCGTGAGTGTGATCAGTTAATAAGTTACCCCAAAATGCATTAGCCCTGTTCTTTTTTTTTTTCCTTGGGACGGAATCTCGCTCTGTCACCCAGGTTGGAGTACAGTGGCATGATCTCAGCTTACTGCAACTTCTACATCCCAGGTTCAAGCAATTCTGCCTGCCTCAGCCTCCTGAGTAGCTGGGATTACAGGCACCCACCACCACACCCAGCTAATGTTTTTGTTTTTTCTGGGACAGAATCTCGCTCTGTTGCCCAGGCCGGAGTGGGCTGGAATACAGTGGCATGATCTTGTCTCATGGCAACCTCTGCCTCCCCGGCTTAAGTGATTCTCCCACCTCAGCCTTCTGGATAGCTGGGATTACAGGCACCCACCACCATCCCCGACTAATTTTTATATTTTTAATAGAGATGGGGTTTCACCATGTTGGTCAGGCTGGTTTCAAACTCCTGACCTCAGGTGACCTGCCCACCTCAGCCTTCCCAAGTGCTAGAATTAGAGGTGTGAGCCACTGTGACTTGCCTAATTTTTGCATTTTAAGTGGAGAGGTTGGTCCCCAACTCCTGACCTCAGGTGATCGCCTGCCTCGGCCTACCAAAATGCTGGGATTACAGGCGTGAGCAACCATGCCCGACCTAAGTTTTTTATTTTTAGTAGAGGGGTTTTAGTTTTGTTGGCCAGGCTGGTCTCGAACTCCTGACCTCAGATGACCCACCCACCCCAGCCTCCTATAGTACTGGAATTACAGGCGTGAGCCACCATGCCTGGCCATCATTAGCTCTATTATTAAAATTCAGTTTTGCTCAAGTGTAATTTACTTATAATACCAAATTTACATGTACAGTTCAGTGAGTTTTGACACATATGTACAGTCTCATAACCACTACTCCTCTAATCATTATGTAGTGTATTTTCATCAGTCTGTATTAGCCTTTAATCAGAACTTAGTGAAATAAATAATTCTTTGAGTTCTGGAAAATGTAATATTTCACTAATAATGTATTAGTGAAATAAATAATTATTTGAATCCTGGAAAATGAGAGGTATGAAGTTTTATATTTTTAAACAATTATTATATCCATGTTATTTGTTTGTTTCAACCAGTTACCCATGGGTGTATTGTTTCTACAATAAAACTTTTTCTACCGGATGGTATGGAAGCCCGGCTCCGCTCAGAGTGAGTATAATTTAGTACTGTGAAGTTTTTGGATTAATTCCCTTGGTTAATAATATTCTAGATGACGGCATACTGCTAATACATGCTTCAGGATTATTTAAGTTATGTTAGAAAATTGATTAGTACTTTTTGGAATATAATACACTTAAGTTTAAATTGTTTTAGTTGCAATTCTAGTAAATAATAATGTATCAGAGGCGAAAGATTATTTTGTTTCCAAATTTAATTTATATTTTGATGGATAGTTTTTTTACAATGTTTCAAGTCTATAAGTTACTGGTAAGTGATAGCTTCATTCCTTTTTATTTTCGTTTACTATAGGACTTCTTAAACTGTGATCACTTCTGGTATTAATGCCAGTGTCACAATCTCACAGTCTTATAAGACCTTGAAGATATAAATATAGTTAGCAGCTTATTTTGGTGGGAGTTTTTTGAAGATTTTTTCCAATGTCATGTTTATTTTTTGTATGAAGTACTGTAAAAATCATTTAGAGGCAGATACTTGAAAGGGAAAAATTAACCATAAAATCTAAATTTTAAAAGCATACAGAAGTACATTTTGATCTTGGGCTTTTTAGAGATTAGTATTATGAAGTGTTGAAGGGAGTTGAGCAATCTTTAAACTTCAACATTTTTTATCTGTGGGGAAAGCCTTGAATATGGTAGAAGCTTGTTTTTATACTCAACATAATATTTTCCTCTCTTTTAGAAACAGAGGCAATGATCAGAGGGTAGGAGGTTAAGAGAAGTAATAAATTGAAGGAAAAGTAGAGCATTGAATAGGAAATCGAGAAGGAAAGATTAAGCAGAGAGAGGCCCTCCCATTGCTGTGTTAGTCTGTGCCTTCATTAGAATCATTTATTTTATGCTTGTTAGAAGCCCCTTACTTTTGTTTGTTTACTTTTATGGGTATATGAAGCAAAATAGCAGAGATTTTAAAATATTTTAATTCATTTTTATTTTTCCTTTTTTTTTTTTTTTGGTACTTGGCATATGAAGTAATATTTTAAATTTAAAGCATTAATCTATTTTCTGTTTTCAACTACAGCTTAATTATTAAAATTAAAATAAACCTTAGGACGTTTAATATAACATAGCTTTTAAAATCAAGAGTTAAGGTTTTATAAGTGAGTAACTTAATCAACTAATGAAATATTGCTTCTTAAAGACTTTGATGTTTGTATTTGATAATGAGATTTTTCTTCCATGCAGTTGAAAACTTCGAAGAGTTACATAAGGAATCATCTGTGTTCTCAGGTTCCATCTAACAGAACTTGTGAATTTTTTCAAAGTTGGTTGCAATGTATCATGTCTCTACCCTTCTTGTTTATCTAATTCTTTTCATCTTTGCCCATTTCCTTCTCATTGTTTGGCCTTTCTTATATGGTTGAATATTAGTATCACTTAAATTTTTGCTGCCAATTTAGTTGTACATAATCTAACTTTCTGGAGAAAATGAATGTTGAACAAGCAATTCTCCAGTGATGGAAGAAGATCAGAATGGCCTTTGCAAGTGGGTAGTCCAGTTTAAAGCCTGACTCCACTTGTTCTGTGACTTGATCAGGCCACATTTTTCTTATTTGAAATATGAAAATGATAGTACTTACTGAGCAGTAATTTTATGAGAATTAAACAAGATTTAGTACTTAAAGAAGTTGGCATAGTACTTGATATATAATAAGCACACGATAAACATCAGCTGTTTATCACTGTAAACTAATTTTTAAAAGCAATTAAGATGCTTTTGGGTGTGCCAGAAAGCCTAGAGTTTAAGGTCCCTTATGTATATAGCATTTAGTGCTTTTAAGAACTTTAAAAGGTGGTACTCAACAAATTGATTTTTTTTCCTTGATTTTTTCTTTCTTCTTTTTTTTTTTTTTTTGAAGGAAAATTTGTATTGTTTTAATTATTTTTATGTACAGAAAAACTCAACAGTGCACATTTAACCCAGTTTCATGGCAAGTTCTTTAGCCTTTGCTTTTTCGAGCTTGGCGATGCGAGCCACAGACTTGGGATCCAGGACATTGCCTCACCAGTGACGATGGATCTCATCATATCTGTCATTGTAACTGGTGCGGATAGCTTCCACCAGCTTAGCCAAAGGACCTTTGTCTTCCGAGTTAACCTGTGTGAAGGTGACAGTGGTGCAGGTCTTCCTGTGGACTGGACGTCCCAGTCTTGCCTTCCCCATGATAATGCAGTAGGGGACTCCCATTTTACGACACAGGGCAGGCAAGAAGACAACCAGCTCAATGGGATCCACGTCGTGTGCAATCACCACCAGCTGAGCTTTCTTGTTTTCCACCCAGGTAGTGATGGTGTTAACTCCTGCTTGAAGGACAGGTGGTCTCTTAGTGGGGACGTCCCCTTTGCCAGCCGCTTTCTTCTCGGCCCAGGCCAACAGCCTCTACTTTTTCTCTTGCTTTGTCTCTGGTCTATACTTGTGGGCCAGCTTAAGCAGCTGAGTAGCTGTTTGGTGGTCCAGGGCCTGGGTGAACTGGTTAATTGCAGGAGGCACTTTCAGCCTATTATAGAGGATGGCTCTCTGCTGCTACAACCTGATATATAGTGGGGCCATTTCACAAAGCGGGTGAGGCCTCTTTTGGGCTGGATGTCCTGTCTGATGCCAAAATTCTTAGGCCTTTTCTCAAACAGGGGATTCACTACTTTCTTAGCCTCCTGCTTCTTCACGACAGCAGGGGCTGGAGCCACCTTCTTCCCCTTGGCTTTCTTTCCTTTCGGCATCTTGGGCGGCGGGAAGAGAGAGCCTTTTTTTTTTTTTTTTTTTTTTTTCCTTAGACAAAAGTTTCACTCTTGTTGCCCAGGCCAGAGTGCAATGGCACTATCTCAGCTTACCATAGCCTCTACTTCCCAGGTTCAAGTGATTCTCCTGCCTCAGCCTCCTGAGTAGTTGGGATTATAGGCACGTGCTGAAACACCTGGCTAATTTTGTACTTTTAGTAGAGATGGGGTTTCTTCATGTTGGTCAGACTGGTCTCGAACTCCTAACCTCAGGTGTTCCACCCATCTTGGCCTCCCTAAGTTCTGGGATTACAGGCATGAACCACCACGGCCGGCACTCTTCCTTGATTTTTATTACATTATACAAATAATTTTCTTTTTCTTTTTGAAGACAGTCTAGTTCTGTTGCCCAGGTTGGAGTGCAGTCCTGCAATCTGGACTCACTGCAACTCCCACCTCCCGGGTTCAAGCAATTCTCGTGTCTCAGCCTCCTGAGCAGCTGGGACTACAGGTGCACACCACCACGCCCGGGTAATTTTTTGTACTTTTAGTAGATACGGGGTTTCACCATGTTGCCCATGCTGGTCTCAAACTCCTGAGCTCAGACAGTCCGCCCACCTTAGCATTCCAAAGTGCTAGGATTACAGGCCTGAGTCACTGTGCCTGGCCAATAGTTTTTTAATGATTAGAAACACATGCAGTGGGTCATGCCTGTGATCCCAGCACTTTGGGAGACCGAGGTGGGTGGATCACCAGGTCAGGAGAGCAAGACCATCCTGGCCAACGTGGTGAAACTCCATCTCTACTAAAAGTACAAAAATTAGCTGAGCATGATGGTGTGTGCCTGTAATCCCAGCTCCTCAGGGGGCTGAGGAAGGAGAATCGCTTGAACCCTGGAGGCAGAGGCTGCAGTGAGCTGAGATTGTACCACTGCACTTCAGCCTGGCGACAGAGCAAGACTCCATCTCAAAAAAAGAAAGAAAGAGGCTGGGCGTGGTGGCTCACGCCTATAATCCAAGCACTTTGGAGGCCAAGGCGGGCAGATCACCTGAGGTCGGGAGTTCAAAACCAGCCTGACCAACATGGTGAAACCCCGTATTAAAAAAAAAATTTTTTTTTAAAAAGAAAAAAAGAAAGAAAGGATTGGGGGGGAGGGCAGCAAATAACTCTTTTCTTCTTTTCTCTTTCTTTTCTTTTCGACAATCTTGCTTTTGTCATCCAGGCTGGAGTGCAGTGTCATGATTTCAGCTCACTGTAGCCTCCACCTCCCAGGTTTTAGTGATTCTTCTAGCTCAACCTCCCGAGTATTTGGGATTGCAGGGAGGCACCACCACGCCCAGCTAATTTTTTTTTTTTTTTTTTTGAGACAGAGTTTTACTTTTGTTGCCAAGGCTGGAGTGCAATGGCACGATCTCCGCTCACTGCAACCTCTGCCTCCCAGGTTCAAGTGATTCTCCTACCTAAGCCTCCAAAGTAGCTGTGATTACAGGCATGTGCCACCATGCTCTACTAATTTTGTATTTTTAGTAGAGATGGGGTTTTTCCATGTTGGCCAGGCTGGTCTTGAACTCCTGACCTCAGGTGACCCTCGTCAGCCTCCCAAAGTGCTGAGATTACAGGCGTGAGCTGCCGTGCCTGGGCTAATAATTTTCTAATGATTAGAAACAGAGAAGCCTGGTGTAGGTGGCTTGTGCCTGTAATCCCAGCACTTTGGGACTCCAAGGCAGACAGATTGCCTGAGTTCAGGAGTTTGAGACCAGCCTGGGCAACAGGGCTAAAACCCGTCTCTACTAAAAATACAAAAAATTAGCCAGGCATGGTGGTGAGAGCCTGTAGTCCCACCTGCTCGGGAGGCTGAGGCACAAGAACATCTTGAACCTGGGAGTCGGAGGTTGCAGTGAGCCGAAATCAGACCACTTCACTCCAGCCTGGGTGACAGAGTGAGACTGTCTCCAAAATAAAAACTTTTATAAAAAGAAACAGAGAAATTGCATATAATCCCCCTTCTGTAACACTAAATAACTATTTTCGTTTTTCACATTTCTTTGTTATGGTTTTTATATGCACATGAACTTTTTTCATAGCAAAATATACCTATATCCAGGGCACTTTTTATAAAATACAAATGTATATCACTTATGGAATGTGTTGCTGGATTTTTAGCCCTTTGTTTATTAATGAGATTGTTAGAAGAACAGAAGATTTTATACTTGGGTCACTAAGAAAGGTGAATTTTTACAAAAAAAAGAAATCTTTGTTATACCATTTGTTTCTATTTAGACTTTTTTTTGGGGGGAGATAGAGTCTTACTGTGTTGCCCAGGCTGGTGTGCAGTGGTGTGATCTTGGCTCACTGCAACCTCTGCCTCCCAGGTTCAAGCAATTCTCCTGCCTCAGCCTCCTGAGTAGCTGGGATTGCAGGTGCCCACCACCACACCTGGCTAATTTTTGTATTTTTAGTAGAAATAGATTTCACCATGTTGGCCAGGCTGGTCTCAAACTCCTAACCTCCCGCATTTAGACATTCTTAAGTTCATTTCACTGTATGTGTGTATCTGCAGAGAAAATAATATATCATTGTAACTCTACAATGGTTATTTCTAAGTGCTGGCATTGAGTAATTTTTATTTCCTCATGATTTACTTCACACATTTTCCATAATCAATAATTATTATAGTAAAAAATAAATTCATGTTTAAAATGCCTGTTTCAATTTTCTGGAGTAGAGAAGGAAAACTAAAGTTGTATGTAATTTAAAAAAAAAATCTTTACTAGCCACCAACTTTGTTAGGGCCTTGTGATGGGCTTTGGGGATGTAGAGTTGAATAGGTCATAGTTCCTGAGAACACAGATGTATAATCAAAAAGAACAGCAAAGTGTATATAGACTCAATGAAGTCTGTATCATGGGTGCTCAGAAGGGAGGTGGGTGTTGATACTTAATGTTCCATTTTATTCAGCATTTTAGTGTATTTGTGACTATTTGAATTAGACCACTTCTTACAGTGTTTGCAGTTATTAGGGTGGAATCAAAATTATTCCTATTTTAACTCACGTCTGGCCAGTTTTTCAGCAGCTTACACATGATTAATCTATTCAATTTAAGAACTTTACCCAGTCAACCTTCAAGCTAGCCATTGCAAGATTGGCCTCTAGGATGTGGAATGATTAGCAGCTAGTGAGGTCATGCGTGGTAGCCTTGCTTTGAGTCCCCTATACTCAACCCCAACACACATAATGGTATCTTACAGGGCCTTGTAAAATAGGGACTCTGGCTTCCTTATCTACTATATTCTCATGAGAGTAATAGTAGTGATCAAGTCCTATGTCCAAAGTACTATTTTAAGCTCTTTATTCATATCAACACGTTTAATACTCCCAATAACTCCATGGAATTTGTTGTGTGATTACCTCCCATTTTATGCATGAGGAAGCTGAGACCTATATTGATTAGCAATTTGCCTTTCAGCTGGTGAGTAGAGCTAGAATTTGGACACAGTATAGTTTCTTGAGCTGCTATACTACCTTTTTGTCAGCAGTAGTTAATCAGGCTAACAAGACAACTAGTACCAATTAAAGATATCTATTTAATGTTTTGTTTTAAAGTGTTTACTGAGTTCAGTTTCATACATACATCTAAGTTTTCAGTTAGTTTCTGAGGTGGCTGGGTGGAGAAGAGGCGTGGTAGTGTTTTGATTAAAGTTGTTCTTCACTGGTACAAGTTTCCAAATTATAACCTTGCTTTCCAGAACTTTGCTTTTTAAAACTTTCTATATAGGAATGTTTAATTTTAGAAGAATGTAGCTTACATATTTCAAAATTGAAAATGGATAATTTTTTTTTTTTTTTTTTGAGACAGAGTCTCTCACTTGGTTGCCTAGGCTGGAGTGCAGTGGCACGATCTTGGCTCACTGCAACCTCCACCTCCCAGGTTCAAGTGATTCTTGTGCTTCAGCCTCCCAAGGAACTGGGACTAAAGGCGTGTGCCACCATACCCACCTAATTTTTTTGTATTTTTAGTAGAAACAGGGTTTCATTGTGTTGGTCAGGCTCGTCTCAAACTGCTGACCTCAGGTGCAGGTGATCCTCCTGCCTCAGCCTCCCAAAGTGCTGGTATCACAGGCATGAGCCACTGCACCTATCCAAAAATGGATAAAGAGTACTCCTTTTCTGTATAGAAATTCTTATAATCAGGTAATTCATCACAGCCCTCAAAAAGTAGTGGGTCTTCAAAGAGCATTTAATACATTTTGGATTTGGAATTTGTTTTTAGGAATATATTGATGTGTAAGATAAGTTTATATATTTATTTTTGTTTTCTAAGAGCTGTATACATTTATGAAGGATTGAAAAATAGTTCACATTCTTTTAATTATTTGAAGGCAAATGTATAATCTTTGTGGTGTAAGATATTCTGGTACTCTCATACTCTGTTTCCTCTATTGTCCGGATATTAGATAAAACTTCTAAATTTTACTTTTCAGTGTCATCCATGCACCATTACCAAGTCCTGTTGACAAAGTAAGTTGCTAATGATTATTTTTTCCAAACTGACTCAGCTATGTTGCTTTGAAAATGTTTGTTTTTAGTATCCTTTACCTAGAAATTTATTTCTCTTGTGTAACAAATTATGTAGAATGCATATAGCTGTATGGTTATTATAATCTGGTCTTCAATATCTGGAGAATCTAGGATGGACTTTTCTTCACGAAAAAAACCTTTGTTATCTCAATTAAATTGTTCACTATGTAAACTAGGAATACCTGTTTTGTATCTAGCCAGGGATAAGGAGTATTCACTGTAACTTTTTATTCTGAGATACAATTCCGTCTAGAAATTTGTTAAAGCTTTCTACTTAAAGAGTTCACTCAACATTTACCAATACAGAGAAGTAGCACAGAAACACAGGCTTACAAAATTGTTCTTTTATTGTCTTTGAAGGTTACTTTTTACCTGATCTGATCAGAAACTTTGCAATAATTGTTTGCTAGAAAACATTTTTCTTTTGTTCAGAAATAATGGTGTATTCAATTATAGATATCATTGCTAATTAACCCTCCAAAATACGTCTTTTGACATTAATGTGGGAGTTGAGTTCTCTTAGTGTAGTAACTAAACTAGTGGAAAAAATATTATTTTACATTTTTCTTCCATTTGAATGAATAATGAAAGCCTGCTTGAAACTAAAATTCTCTGTTAGGTTCCTTTTTCAGAAGTACAAGTAGTTAATCATCAACTTCTGCAATACCGAAGTATTATTCAGAAGTAAATAATGATCCTGCTGATTTAGACCTAACTTTAAAAAATAATGCCAACTTTCTGCCTTCTAGTTAGCATACTAATCAAAGTATACCTACCGAGCTTAGTAAGGACTGGTGCTATAACATCATTAATAAGCTAACACATAAGGGTAAATATTACAGCAACCCAATACTCCTTCCTTCTTCTCCTTCTCCTCCTTCTCCCCTTCCTCTCTCTTCTCCCCCTCCTTCTCCCCCTTTCCCCCTTCTCCTCCTCCTTTCCTACTTTTCCTCCATCTTGTTCTTTTCACTTCCTCCTCTTCCCTTCCTCCTCCTCCCCTTCTCCCCCTCCTCCTTCTTCTTTTTTCCTCCTCCTTTTCCTCTGTCTTGTTCTTTGCTCCTCCTCCTCCTTCTCCTCTTCTTCCTGCTTCTCCCTCTTCTCCTCCTCCTCTTCTTTGTTTCCTCTTCCTGTTTCCTTCTTCCTTCTCCCTCTTTCCTTCTTCCTTCTTCATCCTTCTTTCTTCTTCCTCCCTCCTCCTTCTACTTCTTCCTTCTTCTTCTTCCTTTTTTCTTCCTCCCTCTTCCTCCTCCTCCTCCTTCCTTCCTTCTTTCTTCTTCTTCTTTTTTTCTTCTTCCCTCCTCCTCCTCCTTCTTCCTTCTTTCTTATTCCTTCCTTCTTCCTTCCTCCTCTTCCTTCTTCCTCTTCCCCCTCCCTCTTCTTCCTCCTCCTTCTCTCCTCTTCCTCCTTTTTTTTTTTTTTTTTTTTTGGAGATGGAGTTTTACTCTTGTTGCCTAGGCTGGAGTGCAATGGCACAATCTCAGTTTACCACAGTCTCCGCCTCCCAGGTTCAAGTGATTCTCCTGTCTCAGCCTCCCAAGTAGCTGGGATTACATGTATGTGCCACCACACCAGACTAATTTTGTATTTTTAGTAGAGGGGGGTTTCTTCATGTTGGTCAGGCTGGTCTCGAACTCCTGACCTGAGGTGATCCCCCTACTACCTCGGCCTCCCAAAGTGCTGGGATCATAGGTGTGAGCCACCGCACCCAGCCCTTCTTTTTTTGTTTTTAAATAATGCCATGGTTCTATATTCCATAGCCTTGAAAAAACCTTATCAGAAGATGTTCCTCATAATACTCTTGAGTTCTAAATAGTTTGACTATGATGTATAGTGTTTAAACACCATTACTTCCCATCTTTTTCCTTAAAACCTACCTATGGATTTAAAGAAACATTACTTCAGGCTATTGGACAAATTGTTATATTTCATGTCCTTGCCCTTCCTACACTACATACAAATAATTTTGAAGATGGCTACTTCTAAATGAATGAGGCTTGTTAACATATCAAAGAACTATTTAATGATGAATTTTAAAGGGAAAATATGTGGATCTATTGATTTAGGAGGTTTTATTTCTAGATTAAGAAAAGGCTATATTTCCATCAGAAAAGGGAAAAACAAGTAAAAAGCTATATTGCCTTTGCACTATAAATTTGTGATTTGGTTTATCAAATGTTTTCATGTGTAGCTCTTGTTCCACCACGCTGCTTATAAATTTCAAGCTGATCAGCATGTAATACCATTTACAAATTCTGGACGTCAAGCAGAAATATTTTAAGAACAAGGGAAACTGGTTAATTTTTAAAAGAATAGTTATTTTGCATATGTAAGTAAGTAGACATTTCAAGGAATTAGTTTGTCTTAATGTTTTTTATGAAGCGTTTTCTGTTGATACTGTGTCATTTGTTTCTAGGTTGCTGCTAACACTCCAAGTATGTACTCTCAGGAACTATTCCAGCTTTCTCAGTATCTACAGGTAAAACTAAATGTTGAGAATTCTTAAAAACAGAATTTCTTCTAAATTTTTAAAAGTTCTTAAACGCAGAGTTAGGGCCAGCCATGGTGGCTAATGCCTGTAATCCTAGCACTTTGAGAGGCCAAGGCAGAAGGATTGTTTGAGGCTAGGAGTTTGAGGCCAACCTGGGCAATGAAGTGAGACCTTGTCTCTACAAAAAAGTTTTAAAATTAACCAGGTGTGATGGTGTGCATCTGTAGTCCCAGCTACTCGGGAGGCTGAGGTGAGATCGCTTGAACCCTGAGGGTCAAGGCTGTGGCACCACAGCACTCCATCCTAGGCAACAGAGCAAGACCCTGTCTCAAGAAAAGAAGGGCAGAATTAAACAACTGAGTGTGAAAAATACAAATCCATCCTTGCAGAAACAGAAGGAATTTTACAGAAGGTACAGAGAAGTGTTGAGCAAGAAGAAAATAAATGGAAAGTTAAGGTTGATGAATCACACAAGACTATTAAACAGAGGCAGTCATCATTTACATCTTCAGAACAAGAGCTAGAGTGATTAAGAAGAGAAAATAAGGATATTGAAAATTTGAGAAGAGAACGAGAACATTTGGAGATGGAACTAGAGAAGGCAGAGATGGAACGATCTATCTATGTTACAGAAGTCAGAGAGTTGAAGGCACAGTTAAATGAAACACTCAAAAAACTTACAACTGAACAAAATGAAAGACAGAAGGTAGCTGGTGATTTACATAAGGCTCAACAATCACTGGAGCTTATCCAGTCAAAAATAGTAAAAGCTGCCGGAGACACTACTGTTATTGAGAATAGTGATGTTTCCCCAGAAACGGAGTCTTCTGAGAAGGAGACAATGTCTGGAAGTCTAAATCAGACTGTAACACAGTTACAGCAGTTCCTTCAGGCAGTAAACCAACAGCTCACAAAGGAGAAAGAGTACTACGAGGTGTTAGAGTGAAGTAATTGGGAAACTGTTCATTTGAGGATAAAAAAGGCATTGTATTATATTTTGCCAAATTAAAGCCTTATTTATGTTTTTTTTTTTAAAAAAAAGTTTATTTTGCCAATTCACAAATATAGGATTTTAAAAAATGAACTGGATACAAATACAAAAGAAGTACTATCTTTGCAAAAAAGAATAAAGGATTAAAAATAGAATGTATGAAAAAAGGAAAAAGGGTGAAATCTAGAAAATATAAACCTTTGTGGGTTAAATCTAGAAAAGATAAGCCTTTGTACGAGAGGAATTTTTTTTGCTTCAAGTATGAGGGGATTCCAAAACAATTTTGTTTTTTCTTTTTAATTTATTTTTAAATTGTTTTGGGGACAGAGTCTTATTCTGTCTCCCAGGCTGAAGTGCAGTGTCATGATCAGAACTCACTACAGCCTGCAACTCCTGGGCCCAAGTCTTTCTCCTGCCTCAGCCTCCTCCCAAAGCACTGGAATTGTAGGTGTGAGCTGCCACACCGAGCCCCAAAACAATTATTTATCCATAGATGACTTTTATTTTATTCTCACTCTGTAGCCCAAGCTGGAGTGCAGTGGCACAATCTCAGCTTACTGCAACCTCTGCCTCCTGGGCTCAAGTGATTCTCCCGCCTCAGCCTCCCGAGTAGCTGGGACTACAGGCGTCCACTACCATGCCCCGCTAATTTTTTTTGTATTTTAGTAGAGAAGGGGTTTTACCGTGTTGCCCAGGGTTGTCTTAAACTCCTGAGCTCAGGTAATCTGCCCGCCTTGGCCTCCCAAAGTGTTGGGATTACAGCATGAGCCACACCTGGCCCATAGGTGACTTTTAAATAAAATTAAAACTGGGAGAGATTTTGATTGCTTAATAATATTAATAGGAAATAATTATATACCACATATTATATGTCAAACTTCATTCTAGCACTTTTCCTATATTAATTTATTTAATTCTCACAACAATCTTACAAGATACATATTTTATTCCTGTTTTTACCAATAGAGTAACTGAGAGGAAGGTAGATTTAATAATTTATACAACATCACACATCAAGTATATGTTAGAGCTTGGATTTGAACCTGGACAGCCAAAACTCAGATTTTCAGCCTTTTTTTTCTTTTGGGACGGTTTCCCTCTTGTTGCGCAGACTGGAGTGCAATGGCGTGATCTTGGCTCACCGCAACATCTGCCTCCCAGTTCCAAGTGATTCTCCTACCTCAGCCTCCCAAGTAGCTGGGATCACAGGCATGTGCCACCACACCCAGCTAATTTTTTGTATTTTTAATAGAGATGGGGTTTCTCCATGTTGGTCAGGCTGGTCTTGAACTCCTGATCTGAGGTGATCTGCCCACCTTGGCCTTCCCAAGCGCTGGGATTACAGGCACGAACCACTGTGTTCTGCCAGATTTCCTGCTCTTAACCACTGTGCTGTGCTGCCAGATTCACAGAAAAATTTTTGGTGTAGAGCACATACTTCTTCAAGTAAATACTGTATTTAAAGAGCCGTATAATCTCTAAAAAGCAAACAAGTGTTTTTGGGTTTTGTTGTTGTTGTTGTTTGCTTTTTGTAGGTTTGGGCTAGATTATGTTTCTTATTCTGGTGGGGGAGCATGGTTAAGAAAAACCCTGGATCAGGAGATTAGAAATTGAGGTCCTTTTTTTTTTTTTTTTTTTTTTTTTTTGAAATGGAGTCTGTCACCCACACTGGAGTGCAGTGGTGAAATCTCTGCTCATTGCAACCTCCATCTTATGGTTCAAGCGACTCTCCTGCCCCAGCCTCCCAAGTAGCTGTGATTAAAGGCATGAATCAACACACCTAGCTAATTTTTTGTATTTTTAGTAGAGTGGAGTAGATTTTTAGGTTTCACCATGTTGGCCAGGCTGGTCTCAAACTCCTGACCTGAAGTGATCTGCCCACCTCAGCCTCCCAGACTGCTGGGATTTACAGAGGTGAGCCACCGCACTGGGCAAGATTGAGGCCTTTATCTTAGTTCTGCTACTTAATCCGCTTTTGTGACCTTGAGTGAGTCATTTTCTGTGGATAGGCCTTCAGTTGTCTTTTGTTTCAAATAATAGAACCAAACCCATGATTCTGGGTCCCTACATTCTTTTATAGGAATCAATCAGTGAGAATAGTTTCATCTTTGTTAAGAATGTACACATCTATGAAAATGAACAGAAAGTTATCAATGTATTAATCCGATCTTACATTCCACCATGTATAATGTATAGATAGAAAAACATTACACATTTGGATTTTAATAGAGTATTAAAGAGTATTCTAAGCCAAAATTCCCTTGATTTAATCCTTGGCTTTGATTTCTGACCTGCTGGGAAAGTTGTTTAACTTTTTTGTGCCTCGTTTTCCTCATCTATGAAATGAATATAGTAATAGCCCTTAACCTCACAGAATTGTGAAGAATTTTAAAAATTAGTATATATAAAGCACTTAGAACAGTTCCTGGCACATAGAATGTATGCCATAAATGATAGTAGTTTTTTACCATTCAATAGGAAGGCACATTAATTAAGCTGCTTATTTTAAGAGGTGGAAGAAAACTTTGAGATTAATGTAGTCTAAACCTCATTTTTTAAAATGAGAAATGTGGGGCTCATATAGGTTAAATGATTTGCCCAAGGTTGTATACTGTTGTGACTAGTCATCATGAATAGCAAATCCCACTCTCTCACTCTCCACTCTTTCCAACCTTCTTGTTAGTTCTGAATATTCCTAATGTCCTAATCCTCTACTGTTCCTTTTCTAGCTCTTTGAAAGAAAATTATACCACAGTCTTTTCTGTATACATCCTTATTGAACTGCCAAAGTTCTGATGTAAATTGTAAACATTTTGAATAAAAACTGGAATAGATGCATTTCATACCCTAGAACTAACTAAAAGACTATTCCTGGACATGTTAGATTTCCGTTAGGAAATAGTTCATGGAGTTAAACTCTAAATGGAATTGAATTAAAAAGGTGAAATTACACCATCTAGTGGAAGTAGATTCTAGAGATATGGTGGGTTGATGGTTTTGTTTTTCAGTAAAACTTTTTGCAGCATCTGAGTAATTTCCTGGATATTAGGAATGTTTTAGGAACTTAAACTTGGCAAATAGTCTATTTTAAGTAAAGCTGTGTTTTAATTTGGATTCTAAGATGGTGTGGCTTTTTATTGGATTCTTTAACATATAGCTTTAGAGTTAATTAAAATGTAATCTAACTCTAGATAGACAAGATTTTCCATAGACATTATTTATAAAGGATGTGGGGAGCAATAAATTCATGCTTTAAACCTCAAGTACTATGTTTGAAGCATATACTTCTCTGTTGAGATGTCTCATAGGCATTAGGGTCATAAGTGTTCCTCTGGATAATGACAGGAATAGAACAAGGTGAAGAAGGTATGCCAAAACCACAGCTAAGTGCTGTGAGCATTTCACCTTGATTCCCAGTGAAGGAGAGTCTCTTAACAGCTATTAACTGTTAACAAGCCACCTAAAGTTTAGACTTTCTCCATCAGTGTCTTTTTCTGTAAAATATATCTTTGGAGGTGCCAAATAGTTATTTGAGTCTCCCATTATAAATCCCTTAATTACATTGAACAAGTATTCAGTGGACTCTTACCTATTTTTGGCATATTAATTGCTGCTAAATTATGGGCTGTTAGAACACCTGAAAATGCAATAGGCTGTGCGTGCGAGTGAAGCAGTCTCTCTTTTTAAATGTATATATTGGCTGGGCAAAGTGGCTCTTGCCTGTAATCCCAACACTTTGGGAGGCTGAGGCAGGTAGATCATGAGACCAGGAGTTCAAGACCAGTCTGGCCAACATGGCAAAAGCTCATCTCCACAAAAAATACAAAAATTAGCTGGGCATGGTGGTGCATACCTGTAGTCCCAATTACTCAGGAGGCTGAGGCATGAGAATTGCTTGACCCTGGAAGGTGGAGGTTGCAGTGAGCCAAGATCACACCACTGCACTCCAACCTGGGCTGCAGAGTGAGACATTGTCTCAGAAATAAAAAAAAAAAAAAAGTATACGTTTATATAAACAACATTTTTTTTTTTTTTTTAAGATGGAGTCTTGCTCTGTCGCCAGGCTAGAGTACAGTGGCGCAATCTCGGCTCACTGCAACCTCCGCCTCCTGGGTTCAAGCGATTCTTCTGCCTCAACCTCCCGAGTAGCTGGGACCACAGGCACATGCCACCATGCCTGGCTTTTTTTTTTTTTTTTTTTTTTTTTGTATTTTTAGTAGAGACAGGGTTTCACCATGTTGGCCAGGATGGTCTCGATCTCTTGACCTTGTGATCCGCCCGCCTCGGCCTCCCAAAGTGCTGGGATTACAGGCATGAGCCACCATGCCCGGCCTAAACAACATTTTTTAAAGGAAAAATTAAAAGCTATTGCTGTTTTAGATGTCATACTTTTGCAGTTAAGCCATTATAAAGTATCTTTGCTGATGACCAGATTATCTTGGCTTCACTGGAATGAGTTTGTTCTGAGATGTATATATTTCACATATATGTGTATGTGTGTATGTATACACATGTATACATATATATACAATTATGCATCGCTTAAAAACAAGCATACGATCTCATTAGGTGATTTTGTTATTGTGTGAACATTACAGATTGTACTTACATAGCCTAGATGGTATAGGCTATTACTCGCCTAGGTTATATACTGTAGCCTGTTGCTTCTAGGCTACAAACCCATATAGCATGTTACTGTACTGCATTCTGAAGGCAGTTGCAACACAATAATATTCGTGTATAGAAACATATCTAAACATAGAAAAGGTACAGTAAAAATACAGTATAAAAGATAGAAAAAGGCCAGATGCAGTGTAATCCCAGCACTTTGGGCAGCTGAGGCAGGAGAAACATTTGAGGCTAGGAGTTCAAGACCAGCCTGACCAACATGGCAAAACCCTGTCTCTACTAAAAATACAAAAATTAACTGGGCATAGTGGCACATGGCTGTAGTCCCAGCTACTCAGGAGGCAGAGGTTGCAGTGAACCAAGATCGCAGCACTGCACTCCAGCCTGGATGACAGCGAGACTCTGTCTCAAAAGCAAAGAAAAGAAAAAGATAGAAAATGATATACCTGTACAATGCTTACCGTGAATAGAGCTTGCAGGACTGGAAGCTGCTCTGGTTGAGTCAGCGAGTGAGTGGTAAGTGAATGTGAAGGCCTAAGACATTACTATATACTACTGTAGACTTTATAAACACTGTACACTTAGGGTACTTTAAATATATATTTAAAAAGTTTTTCAGGCAGGTGCGGTGGTGGTTCATGCTCGAAATTCCAGCACTTTGGAAGGCTGAGGTGGGATGATCACTAGAGACTAGGAGTTCAAGATCATCCTGGGCAACGTAAGAAGGCCCCATCTGTAGGAAAACAAATAAATAAGATAATAATAAAAGTATTAGCTGAAGGCTGGGCGTGGTGGCTCACACCTGTAATACCAGCACTTTGGGAGGCCAAGGTGGGCGGATCACTTGAGATCAGGAGTTCGAGACAAGCCTGGCCAACATGGTGAAACCCCATCTCTACTAAAAATGCAAAAATGAGCTGGGAGTGGTGGCACTGCTAGTAGTCCCAGCTACTCAGGAGGCAGAGATGAGAGAATTGCTTGAACCTGGGAGATAGTGATTGCAGTGAGCCAAGATTGCGCCATTGCACTCCAGCCTGGGTGACAGAGCAAGACTCTGTCTCAGAAAAAAATAAAATTCCCTGGGCATGGTGGTGTATAACCTGCAGTCCTAGCTATTCGGGGGGCTGAGGCAGGAGGGATCACAAGCTCAGGAGTCTGAGATTACAGTGAGCCATTGGCATGCAGCTACACTCCAGCCTGGGTGACAGAGCTAAACTCCTCTCTCAAAAAAAGAAAAAAAAAAAGTTTTTCTTTCTTCAATAATAAGCTAAACTTAGCTTTTTTTACTCTATATACTTTTAAGTTTTAAAAACTCTTTAACTCTTATATTCACACTTAGCTTAAAATAAACACATGGTACAGCTGTTCTGAAGTATTTTGTTTCCATTTTTAATTTATAAGCTTTTTATTATTAAAATTTTTTTAAACTTGTTTTTACTTTTTAAACTTTTTGTTACAAATGAATACATAAATACACACATTAGCCTAGGCCTATGCAGTATCAAGATCCATCAGTATCACTGTCTTCCACCTCCACATCCTATCCCACTTAAAGGTCTTCAGGGGCAGTAAGACACATGGAGCTGTCATCTCCTATGATAATAGTATCTTCTTCTGGATACCTCCTGAAGGACCTCTCTGAAGGTATTTTGCAGTTAGCCTTTTTTTCTTTTTAATATGCAGAAGGAATATACTCTATAATTAAAAATAAAAAGTACAGTACATGCATAAACTAATAACAGTCATACATTACTATTATCAAGTATTATATACTATATATAATTATATGTGCTATACTTTTATATAACTGGCAGCACAGTAGGTTTGTTTACACCAACACCTCCTCAAACACATGAGTAATACCGCCTTGTGTTACAATGTTAGGATGGCTATGATGTCACTTAGTGATAGGAATTTTTCAGCTTCATTGTAATTTTATGGGACCACTGTGTATATGCAATCTATAGTTGACTGAAATGTTGTTTTGTGGTACATGACTGTGTATGTATAGGTATCTGTCTATATACACACACTGTGTGTGTGTGTGTGTGTGTGTGTGTGTGTGTGTGTGTGTGTGTGTGTAAAATGCAAGCCTGAATTTTGTTAGCTTTTTCTGTTGTAGGTTTTTTAAAAACTTGCTCTTCCAAATTATGAATAAAATAATAACAATAACAGATGATTTGTCTTCTGTTATGGGGGAAGTTGCAGTTAGAGAACCTCTAATAGCAGTACTTTCAGCCCAGCAAATGAGACTAAAACGATGTGGCCCGCATACATACCGTAGTCATTTCTTATCTGCAGGGGATATGTTCCAAAACCCCCAATAGATGCCTGAAATCACAGATAGTACCAAACCCTGTATCTACTATATTTTTTCCTATATTTATATATACCTATAGGTTTAACTTATAAATTAAGCATAGTAAGAAATTACCAATAGTAAAATATAACAATTATACCAGTATACTGTTATGTGAATGTCAACGTTCTGTCTTTCTCAAAATATCTTGTACTGCACTATAACTGAAGCTGTGGAAAGGGAAACCAGAGATAAGCGGAGACTGTTGTATATTTTACAAAGTACTATCAAGTTTCACATACTTCAAAATACATCAAGTGGGATGTAATATGAAAATATTTTAGAATGTGTTGAAAATTGGTTACTTCTCAAAAGAATCATGATGAGTTTATCAGAATCTTTTTTGTGATTTATAATATTAGGAGGCCTTACATCGGGAACAAATGTTGGAACAGAAGTTAGCCACGCTTCAGCGGCTACTAGCCATCACCCAAGAGGCTTCAGATACCAGTTGGCAGGTATTCCAGTTGTTTTGTATTTAAGAAACATTTAAACATAGTTTAATATTTCATACATGTTAAATAAACAAAAACGTTGTGGCAAACAAAAGCAAAGTTAATTCCTAACTAATGAATAAGTGTTGAAAATTCAGCATTTTACAGTGGATGCTGGTCAGTTCTATGCTTTCATGTCTTTTGTTGTCAGTAGCAACCTTTTTTTATATACGTGTTACTTTGTGATTACTCGGGTTTTACTTACATTTAATTTTTCTTCAATAGGCTTTAATAGATGAAGATAGACTCTTATCACGGTTAGAAGTTATGGGAAACCAATTACAGGCATGCTCCAAAGTAGGTATTAATCTCAAATATATAAAATGAAATGCATAGTTTTTTGTGTAACATCATTTCTTTATCATTTTGAGTATATGGTAAAAATTTTATACATTTCCACAATTTTTTCAAATCTTTTATCATGAGAAATTGCAGACATCCATGTAAATAGAAATAATTATGTAATAAATACCCATGTACAAGTCATATACAAGTCTTTTTTCTATTGCAATTAATATTTCCTGAAAAAACTGCGTGATTTATCCTCTAGATAATTTCCCTAAGTCTGCATTGTTATTTAAACATTCTTTTAGCTCCCCTTACCACTCCATAAATTAGTAGTTCAATCTAGTGAATTGATCTGATTTAGGTTCGGGTTTTTTTTTTTTCTGTCAACAACACTTTCTGGATGGTATTGTGTTCTTCCACCAAGAGACAACATAATGTCTAGTTGTCGTTCTTTTAGAGATTTTATCAATCATTGACGATCCCTGCCTAGATTCATTATTTCATCAAGGTTACAAAATTAGTGATATAATTCTATTATTCCTTCACTTATTTAGCTGGATCACTTCTATAAAGAGAAGTTTCCTTCCAGACACGGAGGCTCATGCCTGTAATCCCAGCACTTTGGGAGGCTGAGGCTGGTGGATCACTTGAAGTCAAGAGTTCAAAACCAGCCTGGCCAACATGGTGAAACCCTGTCTCTACTAAAAATACAAAAATTAGCCAGATGTGGTGGCGTGTGCCTGTAATCCCAGCTACTCAGGAGGCTGAGACAGGAGAATTGCTTAAACCCTGGGGATGGAGGTTGCAGTGAGCCAAGATTGCACAACTGCACTCCAGCCTGGGCAACAGTCTTTGAGACTCTGTCTCTAAGAAAAAACTATGGGAGGCAGTTTGAGACCGGTATGGGCAACATGGCAAAACCCAGTCTCTACCAAAAATTTAAGCTGCTTAGGAGGGTGCTGCACCCCTATAATCCTAGCTACTGGGGAGGCTTAGGGGGATCACTTGAGCCCAGGAGTTTGTGATTACAGTGAGTTGTGATTGCAAAACTGCACTCCAGCCTTGGTGACAAAGAGAGACCCTGTCTGTAAAGAAAAAAGGAAAATAATGGCCATTATTCTAAGTAACTCTGGCATCAAAAGCCAAATACCACATGTGGTCATTTATAAGTGGAAGCTAAGCTATAGGTATGCAAAGACATACAGAGTAAGTAGTATAATGGACATTGGAGACTCAGAAGTTGGGAAAGTGAGAGGGGAGTAAGGGATGAAAAACTACCTATTGAATATAGGTACAGTATATTCAATACTAAAATCCCAGACATCACCACTATATAATTCATCCGTGTAACCAAAAGTCACTTTTATCCCTAAAGCTACTGAAATAAAAAAATTTAAATAAAATGAGAAGTTTCCCCATATCAACCATGTGGTGACCCTGAGGTACATTTTCTATGGGGAAAGCAAGATAAGTGATTTTTCTCCCTTTTTTACTAGATTTAAAAATAATGAATGGGTTCTTTTTCATCTACCAAAGACTGGCCATGAAATGTTTTCTCCCTCCACTTAGATTTAAACATATTTGATGTATTTAAATCTGATGCAGTTGTTTTTCTTCTTTTAGAGGTAGGGTCTTGCTATGTTTTCCAGGCTGGTCTTGAACTCCTGGGCTCATACAGTCCTCCCATCTTGGCCTCCCAAAGTGCTGGGATTACAGGTGTGGGCCACTGCGGCCAGCCTATTTTTCTAATTGATAAAAGTTCAAAGTATCTCGTCTTTGGTCTATGTAAATGCCTTCAGATTGGCTCCTGAGTCCTTTTGATAGACAGAACCTTAGCCGACTTTGATAGCTTCCTGCTGTCATTTCAGAAAAGATGTTTCAGTCTAATTTTGTACATTTCCTGCCCCAGATACGAAGTCTGCTTTTCCGCCATGGTACTCTTATTCCTTTTGTTTTAACCATTGTTTTAAAATGCTTGATGCCTTTGAAGGTAATTGATTATTTTTGCCCACAAATATAAATATGGTGGATTGCAGAAAATAGGATAAATATAAGAGTAATTATTTTTGTATATTTTAGAGAAATTCTCAATTGCCTTTAACTTTTTTTCTATGGGAAGTGGAAATTAATATGTTTGTGAAGGCATAATTTACTTATACAACTTTTACATGCATCTTTAGTTAATACAGGGCCAGCATCATTTGTGTTTGGAGGTACCTTAATATACAATTTAAAGTGTCTCATAATGTGTTCATTTTTTTCAAACACTAAATGCTTTTTAAAAATAACTTGTCTATAATTATAAATATCTTTTATTCTAGAATCAAACAGAAGATAGTTTACGAAAGGAACTTATCGCATTACAAGAGGATAAACATAACTATGAGACAACAGCCAAAGAGTCCCTGAGGCGGGTTCTTCAGGAAAAAATTGAAGTGGTTAGAAAACTTTCAGAAGTTGAGGTATTTCAATAAAAAAAGAAATACTAAATAGTATTGTGAGTGTTTAAAAAACTCTCAAGCATTCCAGGACACTTTAAACTTGGGTGTTATTAGATAGTTAGGAAATATTTTCTGTCTGTCAGACAGGAAGGAACAGTTATGCTGCTTTCATTGACAGGAATTCTCCACATAACCATGTAAGTTTTGGTACCTATGCTCCCTAGTCAATGGCTGAGGAAATAAAAGCGTAACCAGGGAATCTTATTGTTTGCATTCTGCTTAGGATTCACCCTCCATACAGCAGACCATGATATGTGCCAGGGAATTGATTTTCTGTCACTTGGTTTTGCTTTGCTTCTATTTGAGGGTGGTCACTGTAAGGCCAAGCGCCTACACTACTTATTCTTTTTCAATTCACCCGCCAGAGAGGAAAGCTGTGTCTTATATTTAGGAGGTTCAAAGAGGAAATGATCTCCAAGGTCCTTTCTAGGTCTTTAAGGAACAATCAAAATGCAATTTCCATTGCTTTGGGGAAAAAAAACTCTAATTCATAATATAGATCACTTCTTTGAACCACTGCAGAATTACCACAGAAATAATGTACTACTAGAATTAGTTAAAATACTCATCAGAAACTAAATGGTAAACATACCTTTCCATACTACAGGTATAGTTTGTATTGCTACCCCATCCCATAGTGCCTGATTCACTGTCGACTGTCGTGTGATTAATTTGATATATCAAGAAAGAAAGTTGCTAGTTGTCTTTTAATTTTTTATTAAATTAGTTGTTGCACATTATTAAACTTGCTTTCAAGGATTGATAGGCTTAAAATAGTTTCACTGCTAAAAGCCATACCCATTGACCTTTCAAAAACATAATTATAGGCTGGGCAAAACAGCTCACGCCTGTAATCCCAGCACTTTGGGAGGCTGAGGTGGGAGGACCACCTGAGGTTGGGAGTTTGACACCAGCCTGACCAACATGGAGAAACACCGACTCTACTAAAAATACAAAATTAGCCAGGCGTGGTAGTGCATGCCTGTAATCAATATCAGCTACTCGGGAGGCTGAGGCAGAAGAATCGTTTGAACCCGGGAGGTGGGAGTTGTGGTGAGCCAAGATCATGCCATTGCATTCCCGCCTGGACAGCAAGAGCGAAACTCCATCTCAAAAAAAAAAAAAGTGATTATATAAAGGCAGCAAACATCCTTTTCCTGCCCCTACTCTCCCTCTACTTTTCTTTTTTTTTGTTGTTAATTCTTAGTTATGTTTTCTGTTTTAGTGTATACCTGAAGTAAATTGACATTCTTAATGTTATTTAACTCAGTTTTATATAAAGTCCAGTGCAGATGTTGATTTAGAATAGTCCGTAGAATTATACTTTTTAAAAATTGATTTTAGGAGGAATTCTAAATAACAAATGTACATTTATTCTAATTAAATCACCTGCAAACTTGAATCGCAGCGAAGTCTGAGTAATACTGAAGATGAATGTACCCATCTGAAAGAAATGAATGAAAGGACTCAGGAAGAATTAAGAGAATTAGCCAATAAGTACAATGGAGCAGTTAATGAGATTAAAGATTTATCTGATAAATTAAAGGTATGTATTTACTCTGCCTAAAAGTATGTTAAGCTAATAATCCCTAACACACTGGATAGCTTAAGATTTTAGATATTGCTGAATAGTTATTGATGTGAAAATTTGATAACAGTTAAAATTTATAGTGAAAATAAGGTGTCTATATTCCATTTAGCCCAACCTCCATTATTATAGATAAATGAAAGCCTGTAAATGCTGACATAGTTCCTCTGGATGCATATGTAGCCAGTGCTTCACAATAGATATTTTTTAATATTTAAGAGGAAGTAGATGAGAATCGGAAAAACCCATGATATTCAGATGTTTTAAAACTTAAAACTGCTTATCCTTAGGCCATCAAAAAGGCAGAGCGCCCTATTTAGTGCTGTACTGGAATAAGCCCAGAGAGAATCTGGGAATTATCTGCTCCCTTTTAGCTTTCAGGGATGCTGTTAACTCTGCTTTACTGCCATTCCCTCTATCTATGAGACATTTAGGACAAGGATAGATCAGATCATAGGGTAATGATAGGGTAATGTCTGGTTGATCCTTTGAAATCTTACAACTGAGAAAAAAAAAATGAAAAAAAAAATCTTATAACTTTTTCTGAAGATCCTTCTTGATTTAATTCAAACCATGGATTGAGTGCCTAGAAGATAAGTGTTTGTTGAGAAGACCAGAGCATACCTCCATTGGTTAACCTATGATAGTTTTAAAGGTTGGTCTTATTAAAAGGAGATTGTCGTAGTCCATTTGTGTTGCTATAAAGGAATAGCTGAGGCAGGGTAATTTATAAAGATAGGAGGCTTATTTGGCTCACAGTTCTGCTGGGTGAAGCTTCAGGCTGCTTCCACTCATGGCAGAAGGCAAAGTGGAGCTGGCATGTGTCCATGGTGAGAGAGGAAGCAAGAGAGAGTGTCTGGGAGAAGTGCCAGGCTCTTTTGAACAACCAGCTCTCATGGGACTAATAGAGTGAAAATTCACTCATTACCATGAGGACAGCACCAAGCCATGAGGGACCTGCTCCCAATAACCCAAACACCTCTTATAAACCCCACCTCCAACATTGAGGATCAGATTTCAACATAAGCCTTGGGGGGACAAACATCCAAACTATAGGCAGAGGTCTTTTTGAATAATGATTGTACTGTCATCTCTTTAGCTAAACAATTTGTTTGAAATTTCAGAATGTTAACATTTTAGAACTTAAAAATGGAAATAATAGTAATTTTAGGGAAAAATCTCACTTCCCTCTTCAAAAGTATGATTTTTTTTCCCACATTGTCGTTTCGCCTCTATGTGTACTGAGCCTGCTTGCTTCCTCCCAAGTTTCTCTCTCCTGGGTGTTATGGAGGAATAACCCAATGCAGGTAATTTCTGACATCAAGCCTTTGTCTTTATAATCTTTACTGGTTTAGAAATGTCAGGTTTACAGATAATGTTCTGTAATATTGAACACTTTTCTTAGAAGTTTAAGTGAATAAAGGCATTCCTGGCTTAGGGCTCTTGAAACAACATTAGGTTTATTAAATAACTGAATTTTCTTATTTCTCTAGGTAGCAGAGGGAAAACAAGAGGAAATCCAACAGAAAGGACAGGCTGAGAAAAAAGAATTACAACATAAAATAGATGAAATGGAAGAAAAAGAACAGGAGCTCCAGGCAAAAATAGAAGCTTTGCAAGCTGATAATGATTTCACCAATGAAAGGCTAACAGCTTTACAAGGTAAGTTAGCTAATCCAGAAATTGATTTTATTTTACTTTTTCATTTTATCTGTGAAATACCTTTTTTTTTTTGGACTTTTATTTACAGTACGGTTAGAACATCTTCAGGAGAAAACTCTTAAAGAATGCAGCAGCTTAGGTAGGTGTTATCTAAATTTCTTTCTTAAACCTGAATTTTATCCTTAAACTTTTGACCTTGTTTACTGTCTCACACTGAATATTTTAAGGTGTGTTTTACATATTAGGTATAAAGTATCTGTACTCTTTTAGAAAATTTTCTTTAAAAATACGCTTGATCACCACCAGTGGGCATCATCGTTTTCCTTGAGATGAGTGAACTTTCTGCATCTGAGATGTTCTACCTAGAGATATTTAAATAAGAAAAGCATATGAACAGCAGGATCCTTTTTCTTTTAAGGTTCTTTGGAAGGCCACTAAGCAGTTATAGCCTTTTCCCAGAATTAATAGAAAATGGCAAATTGAATCCTTCTAGTAAAAATAAACTTAAAGTGTCCTCTATAATCTTAATCTTAGAAATACAGAATGCCATGGTTACACTTGAGACCACATTTAAAGTAATACTTTCTTTGATCAGGCAATGATATACTGTCTTAATCCTAGGGATACAAGTTGATGACTTCTTACCTAAAATAAATGGGAGCACAGAAAAAGGTAGTGTAAAAAACTTAAATATTTTTCTTTTATGATATCATTTTAGTAGCTAAGCAGGATAAATTGTTCAGGCTTTAAAGTGTTTGGAATGAAAAGCATGCTTTCACAGATCATTGAACCCCATCATTTAAAAATCAGGCGTTCCTTTATTTTGTAAGAGTTGATTCTGTGATCTCTTCTTAGATATCTCTTTTTATGTGCAAATTTCAATTAAATAATAAGAAAATGATAAAGTTCAACTTTAGCAATATATAATATAGCTCTTTTTCCCCACTCTGTTTTTCAAAGAGCTGTGGTACTATTTTGTTTCATCAAGTTCTGCTTCCAGTGATACTTGACCCCCATTTAAAACATTCAAGTTTATTTAACAGCTTATTGAGTGAGCCCTTGGATGTGTCATAGAAACTGCTTTCTTTTTATTTTTCACTTTTTTTTATTTTTTATTTTCCCTACTCAAATCTCACTTTGAAAGAAACTGCTTTATCCATCTGTTTCACTGATCAGAGAGAACAGGATCAGTTTTTTCTGCCACCAGAAAAATCTTTTATTAGTTGTTGGTTCTGTGACCCTTCGTTCAGGACAGCATGGGTACTCTCTTGCCAAAAACATATAGCCATTGGTTTTCCTGTCACTACATGGGGTACTTTTTACCCAGTGACCTCTATTATCCTTCGGTCTTGAAGATCCCTAGTCATCCTCCTCCTCTCCCCTTCCATCCAACATTAATTGAGCACTGTGTGCCAGACCCTGTACTAGGTGCTTGGAGTACAGTTGAAATAAAAGTCTTTTCTGTGTTTACCAATCTGCTTGCCTATCATCTCAGTTTTCTACAGAAATTAATGGTAGATATCAGAGCTGACACTCAGAACTTGAATATTTTTTCCTTAGCCAGGCGTTATGGCATGTGCTTGTAGTCCCAACTACCTGGGAGGCTGAAGTGGGAGGGTTAACTGAGCCCAGGAGGTTGAGGCTGCAGTGAGCTATAATTGTGCCACTGCACTCCAGCCTAGGTGACAGAGTGAGACCCTGTCTGAGAGAGAGAGAGAGAGAGAGAGAGAGAGAGAGAGAGAGAGAGAAATATTTTTTCCATGTATCAGGGGATATCATAAGTCTTTGAGCAGCAATCAAACTGATAAAGTTAGGTGGGTTTTTTGGTTCTGTTTTGTTTGATTGGTTTTTAATCAAGAACTGGCAGTATAGACTCAGGTAATTGTGTATAAGTTAGCTGCAAGGTCAAAACCTCATATTGCATATATAATGAATTTTGAAACTCTCAAGAAAAATGTTCATTAATCATTGGTGTTTGACTATTCTATGTATATTGTGTAAAATACATTGACTTTTTAAAATTCCAATTTGATGGAATATCAATTTGAGAATTTTTAAAGGTGTAGTTTATATTCATTAGGATCAAGCAGATCACTTGATCTCAAGAGTTCCAGAACAGCCTGGGCATCATGGCAAAACATTTGTCTCTACAAGAACTACAAAAATAGCCATGCATGGTGGCACATGCCTGTAATCCCAGCTACTCAGAAAGCAGAGATGGGAGGATCACTTGAGGCCAGGATGATGAGGCTGCCGTGAGCTGAAATCACACCACTGCACCCCTGCCTGAGCAATGGGAGTAAGACCGTGTCTGAAAAAAAAAAAAAACAAATTCATGCCAGGTGCAGTGGCTCGTGCCTGTAATCCCAGCACTTTGCAAGGCTGAGGCAGGTGGATCACTTGAGGTCAGGAGTTTGAGACCACCACGGTCTGCACAACTTGGTGAAACCCTGTCTCTATAAAAAATACAAAAATTAGCCAGGCGTGGTGGTGCACACCTGAAATCCCAGCTACTCAGGAGGCTAAGGCAGGAGAATCCCTAGAACCTGGGAGGCAGAGGTTGCAATCAGTGGGCCAAGATCATGCCACTGTACTCCAACTTAAGCAATAGAGTGAAACTCTGTCTCAAAAAAAAAAAAAAAAAAATCAAGTAGTTATCACTCTCTTGATTTTAGATTTATTAATAATGTTAGTATTAACCCAGGCTGAGAACCTTCTATTCATTCCTTCAGTTAAGAGAATCCTTTTATGTACATGGAACCATCTTTATACTATTTAGAGTTGTGAAATTATTACTTCAATTTTTTTCCAGTTCCAATTGATTTAGATGAGAATAATAATAGACTGTTTTCATATTGCATTAATATAATTATTAAAAGTCTCCTTGATTTTAAGAATAAATATTTTAGATATTTAAAGGCAACTCCTTGATATAATTATTTTTCCCTTATTTGTGTGCTTGCTTTTTGGTGGTGATATATTGAGTGGTATGATAGTGACTAACAGAATATTTTAAAAGAAACTGAGTAATAAATTTCTGGACATACACCAACACTTAGTTAAAAATGGACTTTGGAATAAGATAGGTCACGTAATTCCATTTTGAATCACTTGTAGTATAATAATGAACAAATTAGCAAGTATCCCAATATTACCAATGTCCATACCCATATTATATAATTTTAACTAAATTGCTATTTAAATAGTAGAGAGAGGGCCAACTATAGTTGTGAGAATATTTTTAAATATCTGAAGAAGTTAAAATTAATAATACGTTCAGTGAATCACATTTTTAAAATTACTTAAATATAATGTAGCTACTAAAAGCCCAAGTTTTGTACTGTAAATTTTTTGTGTGTCTTAATCTAATAAGCATAATTTGAATATGTCTTAGAGAGTAAAGGGCAGTGCTGTCTGAAATAAACATAAGGCTGGGTGTGGTGGCTCACACCTATAATCCCAGCCCTTTGAGAGACCAAGGCAGAAGGATTGCTTTTGTCTAGGAGTTCAACACTAGCCTGAGCAACATAGTGAGACCTCATCTCTATTAAAAAAAAAAATTAACCAGGCGTAGTAGTGTGCGCCTGTAGTTCCAGCTCCTCAGGAGGCTAGTTGGGAGAATCACTTGAGCCCAGGAGGTCAAGGCTGCAATGAGTCATGGTCACACCACTGTACTCAGCCTGGGTGACAGAGTGAGAGCCTGTCTCAAAAAAATAAAAAGTAAATATAATGAGATCTACATACATAGTTTAAAATTTTCTTCTGGGCAAAGTAGCTTGTGCCTGTAATCCCAGTGAAGGAGGATTTTTGTGCCCAAAAGCTCAAAACTAACCTGGGCAACACAGTGAGATACCATCTGTAAAAAGAAAAAAATTAAAAAAAAAAAATTAGTGAGGCGTGGTGGCATGTGCCTATAATCCTAGCACTTTGAGAGGCTAAGAAGGGAAGACTGCTTGAGGCCATGAGTTTGAGACCAGCCTGGGCAACATAGTGAGGCCTGTGTCTCTACACACAATTTAAAAATTAACCAAGTGTGGTGGTATACATCTGGAGGATCCCTTGAGCCCAGGAATTCAATTTTTAATATGTGTGTGTGTGTGTGTGTGTGTGTGTGTGTGTGTGTGTGTGTGTGTGTCTCTATGTGTATATATATATGTGTGTGTGTATATATATGTGTATATATATGTGTGTGTGTATATATATACACACACGCATGCACACACGTGTGTACACACACACGCGTGTACACACACACACACACATAAAGGGGAGTTCATTAAGTATTAACTCATTACAGGGGAGTTCATTAAGTATTAATTTACATAATCACAAGGTCCCACATAGGCCATCTGCAGGCTGAGGAACAAGGAAAGCCAGCCCAAGTTCTAAAACTGAAGAACTTGGCGTCCAGTGTTTGAGGACAGGAAGCATCCAGCATAGGAGAAGTATGTAGGCTGGGAGGTAGGCCAGTCTCTCTTTTAACATTTTTCTGCCTGCTTATATTCCAGCCATACTGGCAGCTGATTACATTGTGCTTACCCAGATTAAGGGTGAGTCTGCCTTTCCCAGCCCACTGACTCAAATGTTAATCTCCTTTGACAACACCCTCACAGACATACCCAGAATTAATGCTTTGTATCTTTCAATTCATTCAAGTTGACACTCAGTAATTACCATCACATACATTAAAAATATACAAAGCTGGGTGCAGTGGTACATGCCTGTTGTCCTAGTTACTTGGGAGGCTAAGGTGTGAAGATCCCTTGAGGCAAGGAGTTTGTGGCTGTAGTGCACCATGGTCACACCTGTGAATAACTACTGCACTTGATCCTAGACAACATAGCAAAATCCCATCTCTGTAATGTATATATAAACAAATAAAACAAATTCTAATGATATATTTTGTCTACAGTATCTAAAATATGTAAATATTAATAAATATTAAAATTATTAATAGATTAACTATTAATGAAATATTTTATACTACTTTTTTCTTACTAAGTCATTTAAATCATTGTACATTTGTTTTATATTTAGGACATCTCAGTTAGAACTAGCTGCATTTGAAGGGTTCAGTAGCTATAGTAGCTAATGGCTATAGTATTGGACAGCACAGGTATATAAATAAAAATCCATAGGAAACTCATATATATAAATAAAATGTATTTTTAGTACAGTGGTTCTCTCTCTTTTTATATTAATCTTGGGTTTCATTTAAACCAGTTTAGTAAATATTTTAATATAGAGTTCAGATGAAAGTGTGATTGTTAGCTTTGTAAGTAATGGTGGGCTGTCCCTTTTTAATAAATATCTTAAGTCCTTTGATGTTGGTCTGAAATGTGTTTCAAATATGTTTTTTAAAGTCCTTTAGTTAAAATTTGGTTCCAAATGAGTTTATTCATCTAATATGATGATATAGTTTGAGTTTTGAAAGTGTTACCATAGCCAAAATAGGATTATGAAGAACAACTTTTTATTGAGCAGTTACTATTCTACTGAGGGCTCCTGTTTTGCTTTTCCTAGTTCCAGTTATCAAATTCTTATTTATTAGATTTCTTTTTTATTTCAAATTTCTGTTGCAGTTAGTATTTTTTTCTTTTTGAGACTATATTGTATCTCTGTATAGTATTCTAGGTATGTAATGCATTGGTCTCTCCAAAACACAAGTTTTATCGACCCTTTTCCCTCATGTTTTTGTCTTATACTGATGGTGTTGTGATGATAGACAGGAGGCTCTGCTCACCATGTAACTACATAAAGCATAATGATAGATTTTAGTGTAGAGTTAAAGAAGATAACTAACAGGAAGTATGTAAAGAGAGGTGAGGTGTGATCAGAGTAGGTGGTGTCTGCCTCTCATGCAAAGTTAAGACGATTGAGGAGTAACATGGCTTGAGCTGGAGGAGAGGGGAAGGAAGCTTTTATAGGGAGAGTGGTGCCAACTCGTGTCCCCTTTGACAGATGCTGGTGCTTTCACACTTTCCAGGTAGTCATCATGTCAGAATATGTTTTTAACACTTTAACTTCCAAAATCGATTTGGTAGCTTTGAACGATATAAATACATGTTGATCGCTTCTCGGCCTTTTGGCTAAGATCAAGTATAAATATGTGTCGAGGACATTATCCAGATTCAGAAGTAACTCTTTAAATCACAACAAATAAAGATTATTATAAGAAAAGGGCTGAAACTTTAATTTAACTATTCTGTTAGATTTGTATTGTCTCTATCCATGTTTTTAAATGAAAAATAAATTCTGTTTGACTTGGGCAAGACCATTTACCAAGCTCTTATTTTGAAATGGATAGACACTGATTTTGATCATTTGGGCAGAGATAAACAATTTAATGTTTTAATACTGTATGAGGTACAGATTAAGGTGACTCATAAGGGAATATTGTGAAATGAATATGTAAAACTTAAAATATTACATCAGTTTCTTAAAATTTTTATGGCATTATGATATTCTTAAAGTATTTACCTTTTGCCTCTTAACTGTGAATAGCTTTGAAGAGGAAGTGTTATAGAACAAGCACTTGAAAATTAATTTAATAATGACAAAGTTAAATTATTTAAGGGTATTCTTTGAACTCTAATGGACAAAAGGTGGAAGAACCATTAAAGTGGAACCATTTTAAAGCAATATATTTGTGTGATTTTCTTGAGCTCTTTGGATTAAAAACTACACCTTTAAAAGCTAACCATTCAGTGTACAAATTAATAATAATTTTAAGTCATTTGACTCCAAAATATGTCTGCTTTTAGTAACAAAATATATTGAGCCTTTATTAGTCTAGTAGTACCCAGGTTTATACATATCAGTTTTCCTACCTTTGCTGTTGGTTTTCAAAGACAGCAACAAACTATATCCTTAAAGGTGTTTCTTTCTTTATTAGAGCACTTGCTTTCAAAGAGTGGCGGGGACTGCACTTTTATTCATCAATTCATAGAATGCCAGAGTGAGTACAGAATATTTTTCACATTAATTTTGATGAAATTAGGGGCTAAAACTGAAAAGTGAGAGGTAAAATGAGGATGTCAATGTGTTTGTTATAGCAGACATACTTAAAAGGCCATCTTCAGACAGCAGCAAACCTTTTCATACTGTTTCTGTTTCTCTCTTTTGAGAAAAATATTTCTGTTGGATTTGCCTTCACAGAGCTGAGCATTTCATATTAGCCACCATAAAAAGGGGAGAAACTTTCAAGCTTATTAATTTTCAGATTCCTTAATAAATTTCTTAAGAGTAAATGAAGCCACAAAAATAATTATTTAGTTTGGGTGTTCCATTCTGAAGATGGCTCTCAGAGTAGCAGGAGCTTTCTTGAGAGGTAGTAGCATTACATTGTCCCACAGTCTAACCTCAACTACAAAGCCTTGGGAAGTTTTACAAGGCTATCATTAAGAATATTTTAAAGAGGCCAGGTGTGGTGGCTCAAGCCTGTAATCCCAGCAGTTTGGGAGGCCAAGCCAGGTGGATAACTGAAGGTCAGGAGTTTGAGACCAGCCTGGCCAACATGGTGAAACCCATTTTTACTAAAAATACAAAAATTAGCCAGGCATGGTGGCGCATGCCTATAATCCCAGCTGCATGGGAGGCTGAGGTGGGAGAATCGCTTGAACCTAGTAGGCAGAGATTGCAGTGAGCTGAGATCACACCATTGCACTCCAGTCTGGGCAACAGAGCAAGACTGTCTCAAAATAAATAACTAACTAAATAAATAAAATATTTTAAAGATAGAGTGGCTTGGCTGGGCACAGTGGTTCATGCCTGTAAATCCTAGCACTTTGGGAGGCCAAGGCAGGTGGATCACCTGAGGTCAGGAGTTTGAGACCAGCCTGGCCAACATGGTGAAACCCCATCTCTACCAAAAATATAAAAATTCACAGGGCATGGTGGCAGGCAGCTGTAATCCCAGCTACGTGGGAGGCTGAGGTAAGAGAATTGCTTGAACTCAGGAGGCAGAGGTTGCAGTGAGCTGAGATTGCATCATTGCACTCCAGCCTGGGGTAAAAATAGCAAGACTGTGTCTCAAAAAAAAAAAAAAAAAAGGCTAGCCATGGTGGCATTTGCTCATGCCTGTAATCCCAGCACTTTGGGAACCTGAGGTGGGTGGATCACCTGAGGTCAGGTCAGGAGTTCAAGACCAGCCTGACCAACATGATGAAACCCCATCTCTACTAAAAATACAAACAATTATCTGGGCATGGTGGTGGGTACCTGTAATCCCAGCTACTCAGGAGGCTGAGGCAGGAGAATCACTTGAACCCGGGAGGCAGAGGTTGCAGTAAGCCAAGATTGCACCATTGCACTCCAGCCTGGGCAACAAGATGAAGCTCTATCTCAAAAAAAAAAAGATGATAGATTGGCTTTTGAAGTGATTTAGACCTCTGCTGAATTCTGAAGAAAGGTATAATGAATTCCTTTTTACCTGAAAGTCACAAAAGCTGCTTATATCTATTAACAATTGTGAAGTTATCATATTCTCTTGGTTTTATTAAGTAAAGGTCGTCTTGTGTAGTAAAGATTTGTTAATAATGTCTGTGCTTTTTCCTGTAAAGCAAATACTTTCTCAGGCATTCTTCTCATTCTGCTCTCCCTTTATTTGAAATGTGGGTCCCAAGTTTTTATGCCCATAATTTCATTTTGTAGATATTCATGCATATGTGCTCCCTGCCACCCTGCCCCACTACTTCAGGATCACTTGGGGATTGTAAGGGTCATACCTCTTAATTACAACAGACACAAATTCAACACATCAAGTGTTATATTCCTTAGAGATCCTTCAAGGAAACTGAGAATTTCATTTAATGGTTTTTGCTGAGCTTCTGTTTTTGCAGTTTTTGATACTACAGTATTAAGTATAAGTTTAATATTATTTTGAGGCAATTTATTTAATGTGTCATATTCCTTTGTTCTTTTAAAACAATATTTATAAAGCAAAGATTAGCACATCTTTTTGTTACCTTCTAATTACTAAATCTCATTGTTATGGGAAATTGGCACAGGGATCTGGGGCAAAATAATTGGTGTCCACTGATAATCAACTAAAAGAATATATAATCTAAAATGCAAATCTTTAGGCCAGGTGCTGTGGCTCACATCTGTAATCCAACACTTTGATGGGCCCAGGCAGGAGGATCCCTTGAAGCCAGGAGATTGAGATGAGCTTGGGCAAAATAGTGAGACCTCGTCCCTACAAAAAAAAAAACTTTAAAAAATTATCCAGGAGGGGCCGAGTGCTATGGCTCATGCCTGTAATCCCAGCACTTTAGGTGGCTGAGGCGGGTTGATCACTTGAGTCAGGAGTTTGAGACCAACATGGAGAAACCCCATCTCTACTAAAAATACAGAAAATTAGCTAGGCGTGGTGATGCACGTCTGTAGTCCCAGCTACTCAGGAGGCTGAGGCAAGAGAATCACTTGAACCCGGGAGATGGAGGTTGCAGTGAGCTGAGATTGTGCCACTGCATTCCAGCATGGGCGACAGAGCGAGACTCCGTCTCAACAACAACAAGATTATCCAGGAGTGATGGCACATGTATGCAGCCCTAGGTACTCAAAAAGCTGAGGTGGGAGGACCCCTTGAGCCCAGGAGCTCAGTGCTGCAGTGAGCTATGGTCATGCTACTGCACTCTAACCGAGGCAACAGATCAAGTCCCTGTCTCTAAAAAAGTAAAATACAAATCTTGGCCAGGCGCTGTGGCACATGCCTGTAATCCCAGCACTTTGGGAGGCTAAGGTGGGTGGATCACAAGGGTCAAGAGATCAAGACCATCCCGGCCAATATGGTGAAATCTTGTCTCTACTAAAAATACAAAAATTAGCTGGGGGTGGTGGCACGCGTCTGTAACCCAGATACTCAGGAGGCTGAGGCAGGAGAATCGCTTGAACCCGGGAGGTGGAAGTTGCAGTGAGCCAAGATTGTGCCACTGCAAACCAGCCTGGTGACAGAGCGAGACTCCATCTCAAAAAAAGCAAAAATACACATTTTTAGAAGAAAGATTTTTATTTTGAATTTCTAATATTTATATTTTGAATCCTAAGAAATGAGAGCAAGTAATTATCAAAAGAATGTTTACTTGGTTATAATTTGCAAAAATCCTTGTTTTGTTTTGTTGTTATTACTGGCTTACTTAAAACTTTTTGCCAGTAGTTCCAGCTACTCAGGAGGCTGAGGTGGGAAGATCACTCAAGCCTAAGGCATAGTGAGACTCTATCTCTTTGTAAGAAAAAAAAGAGTTGGGCGAGCTGGCTCACCTCTATAATCCCAGCACTTTGGGAGGCCGAGTAAGGTGGATCACTTGAGGACAGGAGTTCAAGGTGAGCCTGACCAACATGATGAAACCCCATCTCTACTAAAAATACAAAATACAACATCCCAGCATTTTGGAAAGCCCAGGTGGGTGGATCACAAGGTAAGGAGATGGAGACCATCCTGGCCAAAATGGCAAAACGCCATTTTTACTAAAATCTTACAAAAGATTAGCTGGGCATGGTGGTGCGTGCCTGTAGTCCCAGCTGTTTGGGAGGCTGAGGCAGGGAAATTGCTTGAACCTGGGTGGTGGAGGTTGCAGTGAGCCAAGATCACACCACCGCATTCCAGCTGGGCGTGGTGGCTCACGCTTGTAATCCCAGCATTTTGGGAGGCCGAGGCGGGTGGATCACGAGGTCAGGAGTTCAAGACCAGCCTGGCCAAGATGGTAAAACCCTGCATCTACTAAAAATACAAAAAATTATCCAGGCATGGTGGCAGGCACCTGTAATCCCAGCTACTCGGGAGGCTGAGGCAGGAGAATTGCTTGAACCTGGGAGGCGGAGGTGGCAGTGAGCCGAGATGGCACCACTGCACTCCAGCCTGGGCAACAGAGCGAGACTCTGTCTCAAAAACAAAAAAAAGATGTGGTGCTATTTAGGCAGATTAAGATGAAGGTGAGAGAGGCCAGGCATTGTCACTCATGTCTGTAATCCCAGCACTTTGGGAGGCCAAGGCAGGGGGATTGCTTGAGTTCAAGACCAGCCGGGCAACAGAGAGAGACCCTATCTTAAAAAAAAAAAAATTAGGGCCGGGCGCAGTGGCTCAAGCCTGTAATCCCAGCACTTTGGGAGGCCGAGGCGGGTGGATCACGAGGTCAAGAGATCGAGACCAACCTGGTCAACATGGTGAAACCCCGTCTCTACTAAAAATACAAAAAATTAGCTGGGCATGGTGGCGCATGCCTGTAATCCCAGCAACTCAGGAGGCTGGGGCAGGAGAATTGCCTGAACCCGGGAGGCGAGGGTGCGGTGAGCCGAGATCGCGCCATTGCACTCCAGCCTGGGTAACAAGAGTGAAACTCCGTCTCAAAAAAAAAAAAAAATTAGCTGGGCATGGTGGTGGGCATCTGTAGTCCCACCTCAGCTACTCAGGAGGCTGAGGCAGGAGGATCACTTGAACCTAGGAGATAGAAGTTGCAGTGAGCCAAGATCATGCCATTGCTCTCCAGCCTGGGCAACAAGAGTGAAACTCTGTCTCAATTCAAAACAAAACCAAAAAAAGAAAGAAAACCTTTTTACTTTTTAATGTCTATTTTATTATTGAACATTTCACTTAAAATAGTATAAAATACTTAGCTGTGTTTATAACACAGAATAAAGTTTGCTTTAAATATATAAAAGCTGTTTTAAGATTTTTGTTGCATCATAGTTATGAAGGAAAATGGACCAAATAAACATGCAGAAATAGCACAGAATTTATACAAATTACACCAAATCCCTTCAATGGGAATGTTAGACAGCTAATAAAATGATGTTTATGAGGACTATGTAATAGCATGGGAAAATACTAAACAGGTAGTACATACATAAAAGAAAAAAGTCAAAATATAAAATTCCATTTTTGTCCACCCTTTGGTGGACCAAAGAACAGTGAAAAAGCCAGGTGTAGTGGCTCATGCCTGTAATCTCAGCACTTTGGGA